GATGTTACTTCTGGAATGCTTTGATTTATTGAAAGCCTTTTAATTAGATTAAGACAAGTAAATAATACAATGGATGACATCAAATTAGCCAAATACACCCAACATGTGTATTTTTAATAGAGTTAACCAGCACTTTGATGTTCAAATATTTGACAAGTTCTAAGGTAAAAAGTAGGAGCTAGGATGTGTTGCCAAGACCAAGTTACTGGAACATTACACAAAAGTCCCTACGGGTCTGACCTGTAGGTAATCTCCTTCTTCTGCCACTTGGGTCTCCTGTGGAAGAAGTTGTAATTGGCCACATCCGGGACACCACAGCGAGGTTTTTTCATGATCTCCACCGTCCTGGCATCTATTTCCCCGGTTTCTTGCAAGGAGAAGAACTTCTGCATTTTCTTCAAAGTGTCTTTGAGCACCATAAGGTTGCATCTGTCTTGTGGGCATCCATAAAACTTATTCAGATAGTGCTACAGGAGATGTGCAACATAAAAAAAAAAAGATGGAAATTAATTTCTCTCATTTTTATTCATATAAAAACAATAGCTTTTTGTTCTGAGTATCACACAACGGTTTTTTTGCCTACAAAAGCAAAGCCTTTACAGCAGCTTTTAGATGCACATTCTGTAAGATAGATTCAACAACAAACTCACCAGAGCAACTTCTTTGTCTGTTCTCGGGGTATCGTCTCCGGGAAACCTGATTATAGGAGATGGGCGAGCATTTGTTGCTTGAAAAGCGATAAATTGAAGCAAAAACACTTTTAAAATAACCAGATGACACCTAGATATCGTCGGAAAGCCCATTTTCGCAGGGCAATTCTCTCTTAAGTTTGGTCTAAAAGCTGCTTCGGAGTGGTTGCCGTTCTCAGTCCGTCAGCTTGTGGTGCCTTTGCTCTTCTGCAGATTTTTTTCCCCCCTTCAGGACGTCCTGCACAGCGGCTGCATAAACTTTCAAAGTTGTGCTTGTTCGTGCACTTTTTCTCTCCGACGCTTTCTGCGCAGTCTCCAGGCTGAGTTGGAGCGGGGGAGTCATGCATTTTTGGTAGAGTGTATCACTCAGTATTATTCTAAGAAGACCAAAACAAGCGATATGTGGAGGGAAAGGTTTCATTTCAGACAATGGAAAAGTGGTTAATGCAATCTGCACGCAAAAATGTGCACCGCTGACCAAACAGCTGAGAAAATGTTTTGCTCTTATTAAATACAGCCCGGATGGAAACGATTTATTTTTCCAATGCGGAGTTTTAGTCCTACTCCGCGGTGATAACGAACGCGGCTATTCAACTATTCCAGCATAATATGTTTTCAGTCTGACCCCATAAATCAAACAGTATACACTTGTGTGTCTCCTCTACAGTTACAAACTGTTTGTGTTTTACATTGCCGGAATTGGTTGGTGCCAATATCCTGCACATCTGTTTATTTCAGCATCTCCATCCCTCTTAAATGTTTTTCAATATTTTCACACCATCTGGGAAACTGTTTTTCACCTACAGGGAGGCATTGTATCCATACAGTAAAGTATATTGTCCTAAAACAATGATTTAATATTCAGGCTCATCTCAATAAATCAGAATAATTAAAATATGTAATTTATTTTGGTAGACAATGCTAATTGATTCATTACACACACACACTAAACTATCCTATGCATTTATTTCTTATTTCTTCACAGAGAGGTAAAGTCAGCTGCTGAAATAGTGTTGTATTAATGCATATTAAACAAAGGTTAGTTGGAAAGATAAAGTTTGACAGAAGAAGGTGCTGAAATAGTCTAGAATCTCCTTTCTTTATCTAGATTCTAGATAAAGAAAGGAGAAGCACTGATTTGGTTTATACGAGTCATCTGCTGGTGTTGGTTTGCTGTGTTTTGTCAGTCCAACATTTACACAGCTTTCTGCCAGCAAAATGTGATATGCCATAGAAAAGAACCAAAAAAAAGTGAAAATAGTGACTTTTGTTTTTTGCTAAACATACTAGTTGATGTCATGAAAAAAACAATCTAGCTTAAATAGCAGTTTGAGGATTAAAATGGTAAACGTTGTGTTTGAAGTTAGCTTATTTACATAAATCTGAGTTGTTTCAGGTGTAGGAGAGACTCACAGCTGATTAAGGGGTTTATTTTCTAGTCACACAATGTTGTCATTGGCTTCAACCAATAAGATAAAAGTTTGAAAGAAACATGACTCCTTCATATTCCACCCACAGCAGTAACAACCCAATTTATGGGTCCAGGCCACGCACTTGAATTTGACCCAGATAACTTTTGTTGTCAGGATAAATGCTCCGAGACAAGAAACACACACCAACCAATTTCGACATTGTTGGTGAGTTGAGAAATTCTCCCTAACCATTCGAAACCAAACTCAAATACAGAGTAAACAAACATGGCCGACTGAGAAGAAGCAGTGGCGATAGTTCGTGGACTATGCTTAATGGAAAAAAAACAATAGGAAATGATGTCTCTGGTGTGCCATAACAGTTTTTTCAATCTTCTGCATTTTAGATTCTCCTCTGTGTTTCCGTCACCTCAGGATGTAATCAATGATTATATCGAGTGTCCAGAAGTATTTAGTCCTGTGCTGTTACCAATGTTTACATTTCTTTGGATCGTAGGTTATTGTAGTATACATGATTTCTTCAGACTGAAGCATTAGAAGCCTATCTGGAAAGTTTGAAAGCGAAAGAGTGAGCTCCTTATAAACTGAGCCAAACATTTCCTGCTGATCATTTGGAAGTGGATATTGTAATTTTTATGAGGGGGACAAAAATGCTCTGCAAAAATATTTAATTTGTGCAAAGGTTCAAATGCAAAACCTGTGTAAATGTCAGGTTGCAGGTTTTCCCAGAATAATTGTGTAGTGAGAAAGATGAGAGGCGATAATTTGATTTCCAGCCTCTGGACAGAACTGATTTGTAGTTACTGGCTGCCTGAAAAGCAGCAACATAGTGTTATGTTGACATCTGCTGGCACAATGTTAAAACTTGTTTTAAAGTCGAGAATGCTCACTCAACATACAGTGTTGTATAGACATTAAAACTGAAATATCCATCATCAATAAATACACTTTGTCTCATTAAAAAAAAAACTACCTGTCTGTGGACAAAACCAAAATTTAAAAAAAATGAAGAAAAGTGGCAGCCTAACCAGGACTCTCTTAAATAACTTGAAACTTACAAATATGTATGTTTTGAAGTTCATGGTTGATTTCATTTTTATCACAAATCAGACTTTTCCTTAAAAAAATGTTTAGGTGTTATCAAACGGCATTAATAAGAAATATGTTTGTTTTTTTTTGTTGATTTATTTATTTATTAAGGTTTAGCTTTTATTCTCTAAATATAGAGTTGCCCAAACAGCTCCAGTGTTCTAATAAATTCTCATAGAAACTTTGGGGCTTGTCAACATTCCTACTGGCAATTACAGTAGTTTTTTTTGTTTTTTTGTCAATAGTGGAATCCTCCTGGGCCTTCTTCTATAGAGCCCACTATGGTTGAAAAACCAATGGATGGATCAATGGAGTGTTAGAAAAAGTGAATTAACTTGACCTTGAGGTTCAGATTCAGTGGTCTTGGATTTGTTCCCTCTTCTTTTTCTATTATTCCCACCGTCCATGTGATCAACATAAGGTTAAATTTTATATAGTTAAAAATTGCTTTAAACTGATAAACTTTTGATGAGAAATTACATATCGTTTCATTTGCTATAAAGACACAAACAAATTTAGCTGGCCTGGTAATGAAGGTTTTAAATCAAAAGATCTAGTGCACTCTAGTGTTTGTTACTGGCATAGCACCATTTTGTTTTCTGTGGCCTGTTCATGCTGCTCTCTTTGAGGAGCTGCAGACTACAGCAAAGCAAGGGTCTTTTTTCTGTAACTCTTCTTGACATCTTTTTGTGCATGTTCTCATATTGGATTAGACTAAACAACAAATAAGAACCAACCTTAACAGAAACGGCCAAATAATATAATTCTTTCTTCGTCTCTTTGTTCTTTTCTCCACAAAACAAGATCTGTCAGATGGATTGCTCACAATTGTGGTATATCTAGCAGAGCAATTTCCCTTCCCCTTACCCAGAGTACAGTTAATTTTTCATAGCTGGGACTGCAGTTGGTGGTTCCTGGATGGATTTAACATCCATTTGCCAACAATATCCAGGGCCTGTCACTTTGGAGCAGAAGCTTGATTTTATGCAATGATACATGCTGCCATCTCCTCCAAGTGACACACTCACAGTGATCTCTTGCAGAGCTGGGGGAACAGAATGCCTGCCTATTATATGTACATGGGGACTGCCTCTCTAAATAGAAAATGCTGTGAGATGTGAAAAGTTGAGCCACAGCTACAGTAATTGAATGCCTTTGTGCATATAAATGCAATTTTGCAGGAAGAAGTGGTATAAAGAGATTGAGATGATAACATTTGATATGCATGTAAACTATTTTCTGTTTGTTTTGTTTTTTTTTCAATGCTGCTGTTTTTTAAAGTGGGTTTCTTGCTGGTGATGGTTGCCGCATCTCCATCATTTGTATTTATTAATGGCTGAAATGGAGGATTTAAATACAATTGACATGACATCGGCTCTACCCCAATGCGGAAGTAGAGCAAACATGCGACAAACAAATAATGTTAATGGAACTCAGTGCGCTTTTGTTAGTTTTAAAATCTGTGTAAAATGTATTTAGCATCCCGATCCACTCTCCATTCCAGTAGATGGCGGTAATGCACATCTAAACGTTGCTTGCCAACCGCCATAAAAAAATAAAATAAAATAAAATAAAAAACAAGAACTCAACACGCTGTCCGAGAAATCTTTTGAGTCATTTTTGCCTCATCATCAGCCAACATTGAGGCAAAGACGACTGGCAAGAAAATTCCCCAAGGAGTTGTACATCAGCTCTGAAAAACCCAAGTTTTTCGCAGCCAGAGGACGAATGGGGCGCAGAAAGTCTCGTTATGTGAGAGTGAAAGCTCCGTCGGGTGCATTTTGTACTTGAAAAACGGGTGAGTAATGACTTAGATGATACAAGCTTGTGCAAATCTCCCTTCAGGAAAATGCTTAAAAATAAACATTAGCATTCAAAGGAGCTTAAATGTAAACACCGCAGTGACTACAGCACGTTTTTACGTTGTCATAGACCTACTATTGCAATTTACTCACATAAAAATCAAGCACAATTCTCTCCACTTGATCTTTAAGTGAAGTGTCAATAAGTGTCATTATGACAAAAAATTGGATGTTTACCACTAGTTACCTTCCTGCAGACGAACGTGGTAGTTGTTGATCACAGTTTCATTGAACTGGACATGTGGTCGGCTGCAGGCCTTCAGCCATTCCTTGCAGTATTTCAGACTCTGTTTGGGTTTTGGAAATGGAATAAATTGTATTCCGCCTCTACACCCTCTGGGTAAGGTTGTCAGGATTGCATGTTCCCCGCTGACAACTTTGGACCATGATCTATTTTCCTGAAATCTATATGACCGCAGCCTCTTAGCAATGTTCATGGAGGCTCAGTTCCTCCAGATAAGGGGCGTGTACTTAAGGACAATTTGCGACCGCCATTGGTCAGTTGCAGTCAAACCCCCTAGAATGATTGGCAGGTGGCGTCAACAATCAATCATGTTAATTTGTATAGCACATATCAGCAGCAAGGCTCTTCAAGGTGCTTTACATAATAAAAACACAAAATTATAAAATAATCTCAATCATGGTGCTTTTGAATGCTTATGCTGTACATCATATATGCTGTCTTACTGCCTAGCTGTTGTTGTTATTGAGTACCTTATCACTTAACACCTCTGACAACTTCATTTGATGCACCTTGTAAGTACAAAATTGGACCTCATTTAGTCTTCAGAACTGCCTTTATTCTTTGTAGCATAGGTCCGAAAGGATGTTGGAAACATTCCTCGGATATGTTTTTATTATTTTTGACATCAGACTATCATGCTGCAGAATTACTGTGCTGATTGAGATTCAGTAACTGTGGAGGCTATTTGAGTTCAGTTCAGTAGACCAGTTAAAGACCATCTGAGCTTTGTGACATGATGCCCTACTCTGCTGGAAGTAGCCAACTGAAGATCAACACCCTGTGGTCATAAAAGGGATGGACATAGTTTCAGTTGATCTTTGTTTAGACAAAGATCAACTGAAACCAACTTGTCAAAAAAGTGTCTCCCCACATGATTACACTGCTACAGCCTGCCTGAACTGTAAGACAAAGTAGTTTGGATTCATGTTGACCCTTCCATTTGAATGTCACAGCTGATATGGAAAGTAATCGCACCAGTTAGCATTTTTCCAAACAGTTGTCACTCTACTTTAGCTGACAGAAGCAGCACATGGAGCGGTCTTCAGTCACTGCAGCTTCAAAGTTTGATATGTTCTGCATTCCTTGGTTATAATGATTGGTTATTTGAGCAACTGAGGGATTTTTGTTATGTTGAACCATACAATCAGTTCTCTTCTGACTAATACATTTATATTATCCACTTAGCTGCTGCTCAGTGGACTATTTTCTCTGTCAGTAGAAAACAGAGAAATATTGCCAATAACTATCCAACATTTAAAAAGTCACCTAAATCTCCTTTCTTCTCCATGCAATGCTTTGTTTGAACTTTATCAAGTTGTATTTGCAACTCCATGAGACATAAGAGCATTGAGTTGCTGGCATATCATTTCCTGAGTTGCTGTTTTTGATAACAAGCAATTCAACAGGTATACCACATAAAATGACATTCCCAATCAACTAGCTGCAAATTTTCTCCCAACACCAACTCTGTGCACAGCTGGAATATGTTTGCTCCTGTCCTACACAGAATAAACTCATGTCATAATTATGAGGCAAGCTGCTTGCTCTGACTTGCCAGTGAGACCTTCTCTTGCGACAGGGAATGGAACATTCTGGACACGAAGGCCAGTCTTATAATGATTTTCCAGCTGGCTCTGGAACTTCAAGCCAAGCGATTGACCCCCATCCAGCTGAACAGACTGCAGACCTAGATGTCACCCTTTACCCCCCCTCACCATTAGGTCCTCTGGCTCTTGCAAGACCCCTGCAGATTCTCTGATGGGTCATCAAACCAAATTCCCTCTATGGAGCAGAGGTCATGAATGACAGATATCACCCGCTGCTCCTCTCAGTCCCCACCCAAAGCTGCTTGATGCTTTTGAGAAGGGAGTGGGGTTTTTTTTTGCTATGTTGTTTCGATATATAGTTAACCCAAATGCGTAGTTAACACTGATGCTGAGTGGTTTAGATTCAGCCCATTGGCATTGTTTGCTTTATTGCTTTGCAGAAGTAATTAACCAATGGTTGCTGAGTAAATGAATGCAGTAACAGCCCTGTCAATAAATCTGATTCAAGATAACTTAATTTGGCTAAGCACTGTGTTACAGAAATTGTGACACATATTATATCACTCAGATTGAAACATTCTGATGATGAATTATTAAACATAAATCCATTATCTCGAACATATTTTATTTATGAGTGCACCAAGACACTAGAGGACTTTAACACTGCGGGGTAATTATTGTTCCACATTGTGTCACCACTCCTTTCACAGATGCATCAGCCAGAGAAAACTGCAATGAATCAAAGAATTGCGAGTTTTGACTGACGTTTTTTGTGTGCGCAGAAGGCCCAAAGCGACATTAGCCGAATTGCCTTACTTTAATGCTTTCTTACACATTCTGTTTCTCTTTTAGCACGCCTTGTAAACACTGATTCAATAATGCATTCCATTATACCGAGGAGAGGAGATGAGTGTCTCGGGTGGCTCCTCTCCATCTCAATAATAGGTCAACAGCTGTATTTAAAAAATTAATCACATTCTTGGCAGTTGCAAAGGTTAGTCGCACCACTCTGAGATGCAATATTGGAAGCTCAGATCCGAGCGAGTCTCGGAGGAGATGGGGAAGACTCGCCTTTGATGAGTACAGCATGTAAATGATTTGTGTGTGTTTATAGGACACGGGGCTGGCCCTGCCTCACTCCAATAACAGCAGCGTCGGCACCACTCTGTGGCAGAGGCTGGCAACAGCAGATGGAAATAAGCAAGAGGGAAGGGTTGACCTCACTGCAGCGCTGCAGTTTGTGTTCTCTTTCAAAAGACTGTTCATGTTTTTTCAGTTGCCTCACTGAAGCTACGATCTGCATAAGCAGCCTTTGCCTAGGCTCCTTCTTAGGCTATATAATGCAAAGATGCAAGCCGGCAAATCCTTCATGACTGTTTATCTGAGACGAGTTCTCACACTAAGGCCTACAAAACAAGTCATTTGTTAATTCAGCGTTACTTATCAAACTGTTTGTGAGATCTTTCAGGAAATTAAAATATTGATGCCGCCCTTACGTCAAAGACAAATTACTTTCAAGGATATCTGGAGGTGCGAGGACACAATTATGAAATATAAATGTCTACCTTGGTTTGCTCTTAGTTATTCTGAAATATTTACAGTGGTATTCTGGTGTGCCGTGGCTCTTAGCTTGTTGCGCGTAGGATGACACTTGGACTAAAATTTTCATTAAGGCTCTGATTTAGCCATCACAGCAAATCCACAGTCTGTATAAGTCAGGAATAATTCTACCTGAATTAATAAAGGAAATGGAAATGCTGCGTGACGTAAATGAGCGAAAACATTATAACACTGCAGTGTGCAGGGTGCTTTTCACAGTTATGAGAGCTGTGAATTACCTGCTGTGCTTCAGAAGCTTTTGACTTTCTTTTTTTTTTTGTAGGTATGTATTACGAAACCATTGGATGGAATTTTATTTTACATATTTATTACATCCAACAACACAATCGTTTATTTGTTAACATTTTGGCTCATAATCTGAGGATGCCACCTGGGCCAGAGTTCACATATTATATACAATTTTTTTTATGCAAATGGGAATTTCCAGTTATTTATTTATTTTATCCTTTGAGTGTAATTAGTACTAAAAAAACAATCACCAGTTAAGTAATTATCCATTAAATGAGAATGAGAATAGTGTTTCCAAAACAAAAGAAACCCTTTGGGAAATCATATTCATCAGCTCTGATTTCTTTTCACTGATTAAAGGAAGGAGACGAGTAGGCCTGGCAGCAACATTCCTGGCTCTGTTAAAAGAGCTTAGCCTCCTTTTAACACACTGTGTTCATATTTGCCAAAAAACAAACAAACAAACAAACAAAAAAAACCCTTAGAGTTGTGAATTATAGCATTGGGTCTTATTCTTTGGAAATTGCCAAAAAATAAATCACTGTAACCTTTTCTATTTTAAGGTCAGAAGAGTTTTAAAATGCACTTTCCTAAAACTGAAAAGGCATTTTGAGCCACCTCAATGCACTGCCGTAAGTGGATGACGACAAAGCATGTGCAATGGCACCATATAAAAATCTCTGAAGGTAATCACACAACAGATTGATTTCATGTAAGAAAGAGACCTTTTAAACAGAAAAATGTGGAAAGGATGTGTGAACGTTTAGTGACAACACAGAAAAGAGTTTGGTGTTTTAGAACTAGATCATCTGTGCAGGAAACATGGGCGAGTTCTGTGGCAGTAAAGAGGTCGGGAAGATGGATTCCTGCTCATCAACAGAAAACGTCTCTTCAGTTTTAACAATGAACTTTCGAGTTTAATTATGGGCAGTATAGGCTTACAACAGAGTGCTTTGAAAACTTTCCATAGAGTACAAGTTTGTTAAGTCTCCAAACTGTTGCACTCAGACAACATGACCTCCTCCTCCCAGATGGATAAATCACCAAATACATTCTTCACTTTCTGAACTGAAATCCAATCTGGAGATTTTACCGTCACTACTTTTGTATTGATTAGATATCGTGTTATGGATTCATGTCCAAGTTTTTTCTTTCACAGTTTTTCACATATTTCTCTATCTTAGTCATACAACTGAATGTTGTTATTGTTAGATACATGTCTGAATACAATTAAAGATGTTAGGAAACTGGAAATATTGTAAACTTTATGTTAACTTCCCCTTTAAATAACAAAATG